GAAAATCAGGTCTTCGAAGGCCTAGCAGCAAAAACCATTGTCATATTCGGAATCAGCATAGTCGATAACCTATTCTTCACTAGATTTCAACGAAAAAGCGAGCGGACACTTGGGGCAGTTCCCTCGTTAGTCTTACAATTTGACTTTGAATTTAATTTTACTGTCTTTTATACTGTGTTTTATTTCAGATGATAGACTTTAAAAGTTACTACTTAAAGTTCAACTGCGCTTCAAAATTTATCGCTTTTATTTGACTCAAATGCATCTAAATGCATTTTAGTGAACGCGTCAAGGAAAGCGTACTGTTTGCTTTACATAATGCTTAAAACGCGTTGTTTCTGCACGCAAACAACAAACGCGCTTAGACGTGTCAACAAAATTTTATAACATTTTAGACATATTACAATAGATTAAAAACACACTAATTCTCATAAAAAGAAATGTTTTTGAAAAAACCTAGCTCTGGTCTTGAACCTGATCAGTGTCTGTTTCTCAGAAAATATCAAGATCAGACCGATATTTACTGTTTCTCTGATCAGTAGAAAAAACAGACTATCTTGATCTGATCTTATCACTTTCTTGTTCTGACCTTAAAGCTGATGAATACACATAAAAAAAATAGGAAACAGACATCTGTAAGTAAATAAATCTTCACTCTGTTTTCAAGACCAGACAAACTGCACATTCTCTAGAACAGGACAATATCTCATGGAACAGAATATCGCAGAAAGGCGGTATCCTAGTGATTGTCTGTACCAAATCATATAATAGTCACACGATGTTTGTGCAAAACACCGATTTCTTTAGATCGGTGGTTCAAAATTTATCAGAATATTTGCGCTAACCATGTCTCCTACTTAGGAAGAAATCTGATACAGTAATAGGTTTTAGACATTAACGTTTACTTTAGTAAAACATTGTTTATTTTGCTCATAATTAGTGTGTCATCATAACACGATATGAAACACGCGATGGCATATATTTTTTGTGAACATGCCGACAACTGGCAGCGTAGACGAAAGTTCTACTGAGTTTACTTTAGTTAAGAAGATGTTCGTTCTGCTTCTCTAATTTGAATGAATAAAACTGACAACTCTATTACTGTATTGTGCAGTTCTTCTGAATTCTAATTCTATATACCTGAGTATACCTGAATCTGAATGAGGAGAATAGTATTAATATGAATCATAGACATAACAGTTAAGTTAGAGAAATAACTACAAAAAATAGCAATAAGAAATGAAAAAGAATCAACTTTCTCCGGAAGTTCATGTCGGAAAAAAAAGGAATTATAAGTAATGTGAAGAATTCTATGTGATCAGAATGCTTCCTTCATTATTTCACCTAAACGTCTTTAATTAGTCAAAGTGTATACGAGATCTGTAAGAATAGCATCTTACCTGTATTTTTTATATCTGTTGTTGTAACCCTTGAGATGTTGTAAAATGCCACTCAATCGACACTTGTTCCCACTATCTTCTGCTGTTACTTTATGATTTGGCACATTTTAGTTGGCATCGTTCTATATATAACTATGTTTTTTGTTACAATTCTCTCAATAAGATAGTCGCTCAATCATTCATATCATTAGAGTAATATATTGATAGCTTAGGAAGCAATATCCTCACGTGGTAAAACGATTTTTATGCTAGCCAGTTTTTTGTTAGTTTTTTTACTGTTTTACGTCAGTTATATCCGCTCAGATACACCAGTTTCGGTTATAATATGCATTCTGGCCCATACTGAATTATTGCGCTGGTTTTTGAAAGTCTGTTTCTATTAAATTCAAAAGTATTGAAACAAAGTTTTGCTAGGGTTGATATTTTGTAGAGCACATAAAATTTCAAATTCAACAAATGCGTGCGAAGGATGATTCAGATTTTGCATGTACGCTTTGATTTATAAAAGACGCTTCTCATTTGCTCTAATTAGCAAAATACTCACTCTATCAAGATGTTTTATGACCAAAAAGAGTGTTCATGGATAAGCTGAAACGTTCAAGGTGTAGAAATACGAAGGTAGGAGCTCTGAAGCTGATTTTGAAAAAGCTGGTACAAAATGTTAATAGAAATATAACTCAAACTAAAAATTATTATACCGCATTGTAGTTAATAGAAGTTTCTACATTTTATTCTAGAAAACTTGAGAATCTTAACTTTTTCGGATCTACCTGAAAGAAGAAGTCGGTGAGAAAATCTTACAGACAATGCTATGTGAACTGAATTGAATGTATTTTGACTGAAGATATTACGTAGACACCATAGACAAAATCTTTTTCATAAAACTGATAAGATTCTTATCGGAACCTTACCAGTTTCTTATATAAGATTGTTTAACATTTCCCATCGACAGTCGTAAGTGTCTTATAAGATTCTTATAAGACTTTCGTAAGCAAAAAGAACCTTCCACGTACATAAGAGTCCATGTGACCGAGAAAAAGAAAAGATAACGTATTAGAACTCGACCGTATTGTTTTTTATCTTTCTCGTGCACATTAATGTTCACATTCGGATATCAATATGTGACATACAGAAAAAGAAAAGACGACTTACACGCTAGAATTCTATTAGAGTTTTCTCTTTCAGCGTATCCTGATCTTTTTCTTCATGTCGCATACAGATCACCTTTTCTTTTCTATATGTATCCTCATGTCTGACACACACATATCTACATGCGACATCAAGAAAAACATAAAGATACGCTAAAAGAGAAAACTCTATTCACACAAACTCATGAGTTTGACAGAAATAACAAAAATTTTCTACAATTTGCGACGGCTTAATGATGAAATAAGACAAAGAGGAGGAAACACGGACTAGAAGCTGCTCGTTCTGTCATATGCTTGAAGATGATCTCAAACAGAAGATTCGAAACTCGCACCATTGATTATTTTATTAATTTACGATAAACTAACTGTCCATATTTATGCCAGTTCACTACTACATATTTCTAAATTAATTATTTATTCAGATAAATTTCTATATAGTTATTCCGCATAAAACATGTAACACATCGTTTTCACTTATGTTTTCTTATTCTGTTGATTATGTCATCGCTTCGAATTCGTTGTATCTTCGGTTTTTTACTCAGTTGTTTTGGACTGGTTCTGTTTAATATTTTAATTCATTATGCTCACAGAAGTATCAACTTTGATCTTCAAAGTTTCATCTTCAGTGGAGAGACTAATAATTCTTATTCCTCAACAAGGAATCCTTATATGGAATATCCCAATTCTCGAAGTTTTGAAGAGTTTCAACAGATCGATCCGATGAAGTCGGATTACTATTTTCATAAATATGATGAATTCATTTGCAATAATGACATTAGCTCGATTAAACAACCTCTCGAATATTCAGAAGCCGTTTTCAGAACATTAACGTACCCTGTACTCTGGCTGGATTCCATCGGTGATGTCCACTGGAATGAAGCGGCCGAACGAGAAATGTACAAGTATTTGTTAGAGAAGCAATTTTCGACTGTAACATCTGAAGACTACTGTCAATCTCATCAATTAATCATCCTCAATCAATGGATTTATGGTGGTTTCTTTAGCCGATTTCATTGTCTTATTGACCAGTTCGGTCAATCGCTCTATTCTCCATCAATGGCTCTACTTTCTCCTCAAAGGTTTCTGATATCGAATGCCGGTGTCGATGATTATCTAATTGAGGGGATACTTGGTTATTTAGCACCCATGTCCTTTTGTTCTGGTTACATGCATCATAAGAACATGACAAACATCGACCACGAGATAAGACGTTTAACATCGTCAAAAAAAATAAATACATTTGAACAGTTACGTTCAAATACGGACAAATTTTTATTTTTAGCCGAAGTTTGGAAATTTGGTATTGAACATATACCACACCGACACTGGTTATTCGATTTTGATCATGCTCAAGCAAAACATTCTCTTTTGTATAATGCTTCGATAGGACAGTTAACAAATCATTCTTATGAACACATTTATCATTCATCACACTTGACGTTCGATTTGAACATCTGGAAACCTCGAAATCATCCGCATCACGCGTATTCCGATCATTTAACGTCAGATTCTATGTATAAGCTGACATGGAAAGATCAATCATTTATGTCATTTCTTCATTATATGTTTACACTGTATTTTTATAAATTACCACCTCGCATCGAACTAATTACAAAATTGTTAAAACAAC